CTAACATCAAGCAACTGACTGGATGACTGTGCTGTAAAATTCACTGACTAGCTGACTGGCTACCTGACTGACAGACTGACTAACTGACTGAGTGACTGACGGTGTAAAGAGAGGAGAGTACTGTTAGCAAAGGAGGAGTACTGTTTGCTAGTACACTGCAGTCAAGGGGTGGGTGTTAATTTATTATAATTATATGTGGTCAATTATTCCAACATGTTTGCTCACTGGTATTCATGAAAATGTAATGCAGTCAAACCTTTTTAATGTGGGCACTAAGTGGACCATATTAACAAGTTGTCTGTATTAAGCAGGTTGAATTAATTAGGGAAAGATTAAGGCTTTTTTTCCCCAGGGACAAGGCAAACTGTCTGTGATAATAAGCTTTCCAAACTAAGTGGGTGTCTGTAAAGCAAGGTTTGACTTGGGAATTGGTCTGTTCTGAAAATAACTGATGAGCTTCATTGAATATTTTAAATTTTTGTTTCCAGATCAGATGCCACAGAAAGACTGGACAAGGACCTTCATGAGCCAAGAGCCTCTGTTATCTTCAGTAACGTAAGTGCTGTTTGTTTTATGTTTTAATTGAGCTCTTAAGTATACTAGGTTAACAGAACTGTTTGGTTTTAAAGTTTCATGAAGTTACCGTCTGACCAAGTGACTGATTGACTGTCTGATTAACTGATTAATTTGCTTAGTATACTTCTAACTAATCAACTAACCATTTTGACTGACTGACTGAACAACTTAGTTACTGGCTGACTGTCTAATTTTAACTGACTGACTGGCTGATGGAATGACTGATTATATATTAACTGACTGAAGGACTGACTGAATGAGCAACTTACAGTGCTAGATACTGACTAATGGAACGAATGACTGACTGACTGACTTTCTGTGCAATTGGGCACTGGACCGGCTGACAGAATGACTGATTGAACAACTGACTGACTGACTGTGCAGTTGGTTACCTGACTGACTGACAGAATTACTGATTGAGCAACTGACTGACTGACTGACTGTGCAGTTGGCTACCTGACTGACAGAATTACTAATTGAGCAACTGACTGACTGACTGACTGTGCAGTTGGCTACCTGACTGACTGACAGAATTACTGATTGAGCAACTGACTGACTGACTGACTATGCAGTTGGATACCTGACTGGCTGACAGAATGTCTCATTGAGCAACTGACTGACTGACTGTGACAGAATGACTGATTGAGCAACTGACTGGCTGACTGACTATGCAGTTGAGTGCCTGACTGACTGTGCAGTTGGCTACCTGACTGGCTGACAGAATGACTGATTGAGCAACTGACTGACTGACTGTACAGTTGGGTACCTGACTGACTGACAGAATGTCTGATTGAGCAACTGTCTAACTGACTGACTGTGCAGTTGAGTGCCTGACTAGCTGACAGAATGACTGATTGAACAACTGACCAACTGTGCAGTTGGCTACCTGACTGGCTGACAGAATGACTGATTGAGCAACTGACTGACTGACTGACTGTGCAGTTGGGTACCTGACTGACTGACAGAATGTTTGTTTGAGCAACTGTCTGACTGACTGACTGTTTAGTTGGGTACCTGGCTGACTGTGACAGAATGACTGATTGAGCAACTGACTGACTGACTGACTATGCAGTTGGGCACCTTACCGGCTAACAGAATGACTGATTGAGCAAATAACTGACTGACTGACTGTGCAGTTGGGTACCTTACTGACTGACAGAATGACTGATTGAGTGACTGACTGAATGACTGACTAAACTGAGTAACTTACCAAGTGACTGACTAACTGAAAGCAGCTGACTGACTAACTTAGGGACTGACTGGGGCCGGGTCTTGTTTGCTCACTGGTATTCATGAGAATGTGATACAGTCAAACCTTTTTAATATGGGCACTAAGGGGGCCATAGAAAGTGTCCATATTAATGGGATGTCTGTATTAAGCAGCTTGAATTTAGAGAGGGCTTTCTTTCCTCCAGGACAAAGCAAAATGTCCGTAATTATAAGTTTTCTGTATTAAGTGGGTGTCCATAAAGCAAGGTCTGAATGTTAATGGGAAACTGGTCTGTTTGTATGCATAATTAAATGGTGACGAGTGAAATTAGGGAATAATTTCACCTGCGTTTTGTCCAAATCCAAGTAACTTCCCGAGCCTTTAGGTGAGGGATTTGGACAAAATGCAAGGGAAATTATTTCCTAATTTCGCGAGTCTACCATTTGATTACCTATTAATATCATGGGTGAACAATAATAAGTTCGCAATCATGGATTTTTGAGATGTTTATCCTGGATCATACAATCGAGGGCGAGAACTCTCTCAAAAGTTAAGAGCTTAAGTTTGGCTTAAGTTCCAAATTTTCAAAATATTTTGACAAAATACCTGTCATAATCCTTCTTGATGTGCTTTTTGGCGTGTTTAGGTTTTCTAAAGCATTTTTTAATGCCCTGACATCTTCATTCAATGATAACATTTTAAATTTCCATCACCATCTTAGCACTGAGATGTACAAAAGGCTGCCATTAGTGCTGAAATCTTGTGCCAGAATGAAGGAGTAATTTGTCACCTATTATATTTTGAAAGTAACTGATGAGTTTCATTGAACATTTTAAACTTTTGTTTCCAGATCAGATGCCACAGAGAGGCTGGACAAGGACTTTCACGAGCAAGGAGCCTCTGTTATCTTCAGTTCCGTATGTGCTCTATGTTTTGCTCTGTAATCCAGCTCTTGAGTGAACCAGATCAACAGGATTGTTGGCCAAGTGATTTCAAAGTTTGATTAAGCTAATCCAGGGAAAGCTGTTGTAACATAGATATATTGTACCTAATTCTTTCATTTCACAGTTATTTCACCATCAAGTGTACCACTTTTGGGAGTAGAAGTTTATCAATCTTACTTTTTCTTATAAAACAACAACAACAACAACAACAACAATAAAAACTGAAAAACGTGCAAATTAAAATGCAACATAAAAGAGCAAAATTCCAAAATAAAATTAAATCAAGTACAGTTGTACAGCTTGGTCAACATTATTATGGTGAAAATAAAAGAATTGAACCCAGGACCATCCAATTGAATGCAGTCCTGAACAGCTACAGCTGTTGGTGATTCAGTGACTGGCACATCAAAAGTGTATAAAAGAAATCAGCAGGATTGAACTAATATTTTATTATTGACCTCTAAATTAATAATATTGGTACTTTAAGACCAACCAAATAAAATCGTTTTTTTAAGGAATGCATTCAGCGTTTCTGTTGAACTTAAATGCTTGCAGTTGCCAGTTTTATGTCTGCAAGGAATCACAATACAAAGACAGCTGAAATGCATTGAAATCTTTTTGGTTTCAAGAAAAAAATAATTTGATTGATTTGATTGAAAATTGCAAGAGACATGCACTTGTTGGTGAAGTACTCATAATCAGAAAACTTAATGCAAAAACCGAGGTCATTATAAGTTTTCTCCTGGATTAGCATTTATCGACTTTGTTCAACTGTGTCACAACATTTTAAACCAATAGCCAAGTTCTGCTGATAATAGTAATAATAATAATAACAATAATAATAATAATAATAATAATAATAATAATAATAACTATTATTATTATTATGTTGTTATTATAGTACCTGTTAGCACAGATATGCAATCCATATTGTACCCTTCAAATTTCTTACCACTTTGATCTATTCAAACGACTGTCTGACTTAATAATTGAATGGGATAACTGTGACAGCAAGGATAACCAGCATGACTTCTATAACTGGGATGACTGGAATTACTGTGATGAATAACATGACTGGGATGACTAGGATGACTGGAATGACTAGGGTGTCTCGGATGACTAAATTGACTGGGATGACTAGAGTGACTAGGATGACTGGATGTCTAAGATGACTGGGACGACTAGGGTGACTAGGATGATTAGGTTGACTGGGACCCAGTGATTAAGGTTTAGAACAAATGTCCTAAAAAGCTGAATTTTCTTAAGACATTTTTAGTTTTTGTCAGTTTTCAGTTTTTTTAGTTTTTTTTTTATTGTGACAGAATAGATGAAAATTAGATCCTTTCAAGATACTTCTAGTTTAAAAAATACTTAAAATATAATTTCACACGTAAAAGGTGTAGGAGACCCATTTCTTTTGTTAATAGCATTGCCAATGCATGACTGCATTAAACTTGAATAATTATACCTCTTTCAAGTTTGAAGTTTATGTTTCCAGAATGAAATGTGAAGATACAATGTATTTTGTTTTCCTCTTTCCTTACCTATTAAACATTGAATGGATTTTGAAATTACAAACATAGCACAAAAAAAAGTTCAAATGTTCGACTTCCATAACAAAAAAAAACTGTCACAGGATATTCTTATGTTAGGGAAACATAGTCACCTAAACTGCACTTCATCTTGTCGTTTTCTTGATCATAATCCAGCCACGATTAATTTCTTCTGTTGGATCATCGACATCATTCAATTCTTCATGAGCAATTTGCATTGTTGTGCTTTCTTCGTTTGAAAAAATATGACAACGGTTTTTGCCTCTTTTCAGCCATAACTAAGGTTCGCTTGAAATAGAATCAAAGATAGTGCCTGCATTATAACAAACGTTCCTGTTGGCTTTCATCTGACCAATTGCTCGCACTGTGAGATCTTTGTAAAATAAATCCAAGATGGCAGTGGTTGCATTGTTTGGTGCACAAATTGCAGCTCAAACTAGGGATATCTTCCCTATATGGAAAATTGTACCCATCTGTAACATCTATCACTACCACAAAACACATTTAGAGTATAATTTAGGTAAATTTTTTTTGGACAAATAAAAATTGTCTCGGACCATGTCCGAAGACTGAGATAAATCTGAATCACTGCTGGAATGACTGGGATCACTAGCATGACTTGGGTGACTGGGATGACTGGGATCACTAGGACGACTTGAATGGCTGGGATGACACTGCTGACTGGGGTGACTGAGATGACCGGTATTTTTGGGATTACTAACATGACTGGTGTGGGATGACTAGGCTGACTGGAATGACTAAGATGACAGGAAAACTAGGGTGACTGGGATGACTAGGATGACTTGGATGACTGGATTGACTGGGATGACTGGGATCACTAGAATGACTGGGACAACTAGGATGACTGGGATAACTGGGATGACTAGGGTGACTGGGATGACTGGGATCACTAGGATGACTGGGATGACATGGATTACTGGGATGACTGAGATGACTGGAATGACTAGGTGGACTGGGATGACTGGGATGACTTACTTGACTACTATGACTGGGATGACGTACTTGACTACTATGACTGGGATGACTGGGTTGACTAGGATGATAGGGATGACTGAGAGGACTGGGATGACTAGGATCACTGGGATAACTAGGATGACTGGGATGACTTATTTGACAACTATGACTGGGATGAATAGGATGACTGGGGTAACTTGGATGACTGGGATGACTTAGTTGACTACTATGACTGGGATGACTAGGATGACTGGGATGATTGGGATGACTGGGGTGACTAGTATGACTGGGATGACTGGTATGACTGAGATCATGAAGATGACTGGGATGACTGGTATGACCGGTATGACTGGGATCAAGGTGACTGGGATAAATAAGATGACTAGGATGACTAGGATGACTGGGAGGAGGGGGATGACTGTAATGGATAGGGTGACTAGGATGACTAGGACATTTAAAGTCATTTGCTTTGCTGATGGAAAAAATTTCCGAAGCTGTTGCTAAGTGACTTGTTTGAATACTGGCTGGACAAGGGTTTGTAAAACTGAATAACTGACTGTCTGTTGATTTTTATTCTGACTGACCAGAATCAGTGCAGAATGATCTGAAGTTTAACCCAACTGTTTCAAAAGACAGACCGATGTTAAACTGACCTGTATGACAGCTGGCGGGTCTGACCAATTCACAGTGGTCTTATTATTTGGGATTTGTACTTTAATGGTATAGTTGGTAGACTGCATATCTGTGCTGACTCGTATATTCGTTTTCTGTGAACTTGATGAATGCATTTCAAATGTCTTCATACTTCAACCATCAATTTCCCTGCATGGAAATACGTCTTAGGAATGACTGAATGCACTTCACATTGATGATGTGCAGTGTAGTGCTTCTTGCTGGTTGCTAATTATTTCAACGATGACAATAGTTATACAACCAATCAAATCATCAGCCAACCTAAGACATTATTTGATGGGGTTGTAGGTGGGGGGGCGGGGAGGGTGGAGGAGAGGAGCGTTTCTTCTTAGGTAAAACTTCAGTCGTGGCAAATTGGCAAATTAATCTGTTGTTTTGTTTTAGGGCTTGAATTTCTGACTGACATTCATCAGTGCAACTACTTACCTTGCAATTCTTAAAGGTGATGTTTCAGTTGAAGTGAATAAAATGTCTAAATTCTTAAATTCAATTTAATTTTTATTTCCACGTTCGGGGAAAAATTATTCCACAGTTTTTTTCACAAGAAAATAAGATTTGGCATGGGTGAACTGGATTGTTCCTTTAATTTGTCTTAATTGATTGTGAATTTGGATTGCGTGTCTAATCTTCAAACGCCTTTGTGGAAAACAACAGCAAGTGCTTTGATCATGAATCTTGTGGCTCTCATTCTGACATTCGTTGAATTAATTTTACCAATATAATCAGTCTACTGCTGGAAAATGAAATAAGAATTACACAGCAACAACAACAGCAACAATGAAATGATTGAAATAGAGTCCTCACTGAAAATGTCTGCCGCAGTGTTTTAAAGTACGTTGGACAAGCTCTGATAAAACTGGGTGTGGAAAATTTAGTGATCTTCTGAGAGGTAACGTGGGGAGATTTTGAAAACTTGCATTCATCTTTTTCAATTCCAAAGTGATCAGCATGTTATTTCTCTATACTTGTTTAAGTAAATTACCAAGTAAAGTAAAAGAAAATAACATGTTAAAACTTTGGACTGAAAGTTCACAGTAACCTAAAGGCCTTCAGATAAGCAGTTTGATTTGCAATTACAACGCAATCCATAAATACATGTGCAAATTGAAATTCTTATTAGCAGCTGCTCGGATCAAACTCGGAGTCTTTTTATCGGCCGTTGTTTAGGCTCGTCACGCAAAATCGTCGAGCCAAAAGACGACCGCGAAGAAGATCACACGAAAGTTCGACATGGGATTTAGAGCATAGTAAAGTTTTTTCTGTTAGGTATTTTTCTATGTGCATGTATTTTGTGGGATGCGGTTTAATGAACAACAAACCTCTTACTGAAACAGTCTGAAATTTATTCCCCTATGTTTTTCCAACTTTTGGAGCTATAGCAATCACAATGACGACGGCAACAACGGCGGCACATAACAGAAGGCTTCACATGCACGCTCGCTTTAATTCTTTTGTACATTTATTCGCATCTGAACGCAAAACAACAAGAAAGGTAATGATCAAATTTTTGGTCAGTTGAGAAGAACATAAACATTGAGCTATGAAACTTCAAGTTCAAAACCGCGCGCACAAATTTAAGTTTGATAGGTAAATTAAAACTGCAGCTAAAAAAATTTTAAAGGGTCGCTGATATTCGCAAGACCTCTAATTATCTTTTGAAGTGCCGATCTGAGTGCCGTCGCCGTAGTGATTTGTTAAGCTTTATTAGATTTGAAGTAGAACTTGGCTTATTCTAAGGTTCGGACAATCAGTAAAACATTACGCGCAGTAACTTTACGCTGTGTTTCTACTCCTATAAAGCGTTATTATGTAAAATTGAAACCCAAAATTGTTTTCTGTTCTGGAACCTTCGCACAAGGATTTTAAGGGGTGGAAACACTGTGTAATTTTAAGGCATGTTTTTACTAGCGGCGTACCACAGGCTTATGTTTAGTGATGTCATCAACAACTGAAGTTTATTAAAATACAAAACTGAAGGTATGAGCACAAAGAATTGTTGAACAGTCGAACTTATTCATATTTTGCCGTCGAATAGGATTAACACAACACGAGCCGAGCAGAACAAAATAAACATGATTTTGGTTGATCTTGCTTGAGCTTATGTTGAGTTAATTCTTAGCGCGGTAGAATATAATAAATGCCTCGGGTTTCTTATATTTGTGCTCATTTTTTTGTTGTTGATGTCTTCACTAAACTGACGCTTGTGTTCATGTCGTTAGTAAAAACCAGCCTTTACTGCGCGCAATGTTTTACTGTGTCCGAGCGTTTAGGGTGTTTATCTGGTTCACTCAAGTAGTTGGATTACAAAGTAAACAGCACAGGTACTGAAGATAACAGTATTTTATTGAAGAAATAAAGCTTGTCTCTGTTGTCCATTTAATTACAATAAAAAAATCCAAAAAAAAAGTAATCTAGCCTCCCCGTCCCTGCTAGGCTGCTTCCACTCTGCTCCGAGTCGGTGTTCATTCTTCTGTCCTCATATGATATTCCAACTTCAAAATCCTGGTCTGTTTTATCTGATCCCTTCATTCAACCTGGGGGCAGTTGGACACTTAGAAAATTCAGCCGTTTGTTCCCAAGTGGGGTGGGCAGCGTGAAGGAAAGTGAGAGTTTGCTCCTCATGTTCTCAAGGTCTCATTCACCTTTGTCACAATACCACACCAAATTACTTTGGAATTAAAATGAGCCAAAATAATTTGTAGTGAAAATTATAATTTTGTTTTGAAAGTGCGTGTCTGCAAAGTCAATATATCGTGAAAAATATCCAGAGTCGTGGACAAGAAAAAAGAGGGCGCAAGACAGTGAAACTCAGTCTTCAGTGGGTCTCCGTCAACGATGCCCAGAAAATTGAACAAAGAATCGCACTGGTCTGACCGGTCTTCATCCCACAAACTTCACCAAAGAGCACAAGTCAATAATAATCTCTCTTCTGCGAAGCTACTGATATTGGATTTCTCTCGCCCTAGTTTTTGTTTAGTATTTAGTGTTTAGACCTACATTAAAGGAAATTTGAAAGTGAAAGATACGCAAATTGTTTTCGCATCGTTTATTATTGTTACTCTTAAAAGTCGAAATTCTCTGAAGGTAATTAAGCGAAACATCAAGAAGCAAAATTTACGCAGTACTAATATAGTGCTGCGTAAATTATGCCCTAAATATTTCGTTTTATACCTTACCATTCGGTGCGCTTATAATATAATGTTGAATTCGTCTAAATCAGTGTCGCGTCGGTTTGCCTTCAAATTTCGCCAAAGTGATTAAAACGGTCTTGCAGATGATTTAAATTTTGGCTTGTTTTCCTTCCCGTAGAAATAGTTCGATTAATTGTCTCATTGAAATAAAGGTTTATTTTTATCTTAGGAAAGTTAGTGGGAGAGAAATGTGAAGCTAGTAAAATTTAATGTTTCAGTTCCGAAAAAAATTTGGATTCCATAGCAAGTCTTTAAACCCTGATGTTTCTCTGCATAATAATTATTTAAATTGTCCTATCTTTAAGTTCCCACGAGATTTGAAGCTTTAATCACGATGACCACGCTAGCCGACTGTACCAGCATTGCGTGACGATCGTGACAATAGCCCAAATAGCGTGGAAATAGGGTCGTGACTGGAATGGATACTTTAAATCAGTATTCAGATAAATGACTGGAACTAGTCAAATAAATAATTTTTAATATAAAAAAATGATCTTTGGTATATGGTTCCAGACCTAAATCCAAAACCCTAATTTGAAGCATCAATTGAAGTCACAACCGAGAACTTATCTTAACGTGAAAAGTTAATATTTATTCTAGCTGTTAACATAAGGCTATCCGAAATTTTGGTCAATTTAACCTAATTTTTCACACAGCCCAAGGAAATCTATTCTATGCCCTTCCTACAAATTAAGGATATAGAGCAGACCACCACAGCTGTCTGATTAATCAAGTCTTTCCTTATTTTAAAAATGGTTTAGTATCTAAAGCTGGTATTATTAGTCTAACATCAACAGCCATGTTTGTTTGCTTATTGTTTTCAGTTAACCAAAAAACAACAGGCAAAAAAAAAGAAATGTTGATGTACCTTAAACCTAGTTTTGAAAAATTTCTTATAATCTGAGGTAGGAAAAAGATGGAAATCAAATAAATTTGAGCGTTATTTCGTTCTTATGGTTTTAGTTAAATTTTCAGGTAGTCAAAAAATATCAGTACAAAATTTGGCAATTATTATGGAAATGATTTATATGCTATTTTTGTTTTTAAATTTGTTATAATCTGAGCCATTCTGAGGTAGGAAAAAGATGGAAATCAAATAAATTTGGACCTATTTCGGAGCGTTGTTTCGTTTTTGCGGTTTAAGTTAAATTTTCAGGTAGTCAAAATATATCAGTACAAAATTTGGCAATTATGGGAATGATTTATATCCTATTTTTGTTTTTGTGCAATATTTTGGATAGCTATTTATTGTTAGGACATCAAAAGCTTTAGGTTTAGAAGAGAAATCCTTAACCAGTTGTCCCCATTAGAGAGATTCTTAGTGACTATCAGCTCAATTTGATGTCATTTGTGAAAATCCACCCAAGCCAGGCCAATGAGATTCATTGCTTAGTTCTCTGCCCTCGAATCATCCTTCGACACACCTACTGCGTGAGCCGGGGAGCACGTTCTTGCACCCCCCGTTTTTCATCCTCAACAGTGAAACATTCCCAGACATATTGTTTGCCGACAAGCAACTTTCTTGCCCGAAATGGTTATTTATTTATTTTTTTGGAAAAA